AGTGCATTATTTCTTTGAAAATCTTCTTTTCTACTCCTGGGTTTATTTAAACAAGTTAAATACATAGTTATGATAAGCAAGGCTGACTCTACCAAAATTGTGAAATTTATGGCCCCAGGGTCAGGGGTTCTGGTGCTAGGGCGGGGCTGTATAGATCACATAATGAAAGTGCATTATTTCTTTGAAAATCTTCTCTACTCCTGGGCATTATTTAAACACATTAAATACATAGTTATGATAAGCAAGGGTGAGTCTACCGAAATTGTGAAATTCATAGCCCCAGGGTCAGGGGTTCTGGTGCTAGGGCGGGGCTATATAGATCATATAGTAAAAGTGCATTATTTTTTTTTGAAAATCTTCTCTTTTTCTTGGTATTATTTAAACAAATACATAGTTATGATAAGCAAGGATGCCTCTTCCAAAATTGTGAATTTCATGACCCCTGGATCAGAAGTTCTCATATTAGGACGGGGCTCTATTTATTATATAGTGAAAATGCATTAATGCTTTAAAAATCTCTTCTGCTCCTGGGCATATCAGAGGCAAAAAGAGTAAACCTTTTAATAAAGAAGGGTATTTTTACCAGATTTTTGAACATCAGAACCATTTGGTCAAGTGTTCTGGTCCAGGCCAGGGCTCTATTAATTTGTATACTACTGAGTAGTATACTCTTTGCCATTTACTTGTGATTATAATCACTGTAAATACTGTTCTTGAAAGGTTAATAGAATAAGAGAATTATGCAAGAATTTTTATTGTATAATACAAAATTAAAGTACTTTCATAGTTTTAATGATCAGGTAGACTTTAAGTAACAGATAAATAAAAATGAGACAAAAATAGCTTGTCTTATTAAATGTTCATCAAAGACCAAGAGAGGCCAATGTAAGAGATTTCAACAGGGAATTAAAAGAGTACAGAAGCACTGATTATAAGTTTGTTTATACACTGTCTGGGGAGAGTGATAAATGGGGAACAGATTAGAACCTAATTTATGTACTGTTAATGAACACTAGACTAATTATTTTGTTGATCCTGATCACCCTATTTTTCTTGCTTTTGGGCAACAAAGCTTCACCTTTCAGTTCATTTTAAACTCTACGGATCCTCTAAATTGTTGTATTATACTCAGGTGACCGTTAAGGCCCTTGGGCCTCTTGTTTTGCAAGTAGCTTTACATTGGAATATATTACTTGCGTTTTAACAACAGAAGAAACAATCATATTATGCATGCAAAAATTTAATGTCTTACTTCCTTTTTGCATGCAACTGTTTATTCCAGACAATTCTCTATACGGACATGTCTGTTTAACCTTTTTTTGATATCCTATACTACTGGATAGTCTATGTCATGTCATGAATAAATCTTCACGCCTTTTCCTTTGAATGTCTATCTAGTAAGACCAGTGTGTACGTGACAATTTCCAAAGAATTAAATAAAGCTTTTAAACCTGATTCTCGAGCTTTAGAATTTTATTTATCTCATTAAAAAAATACACATCATGTATTTTACAGACAGTATTTTTAAAAATATACATGTTTCACTTCAACAGAGGAAATTGTATTCCTTTTTATCTTAATCATCTTTTATCATGCACCTTATAAGCAATATTGCGATTACATTCTCATTTAATTATACCATGTACATCCATATATATCCTAACTTCTTATATAAAGTTTATGAAAACATTATTATTTCTTTTCAAAATTCGGCTGAGAGTAAAATCATTTGTATAATAATTACACACGTAAGTGCACGCTACGATTTAGTCCCAATGAAGATAATTATTCTTTTCTTTAAATTAATACAATTAGTAACATAAAAAGATATCATGTTCCCATCGTCCTTTGGCATTTCTGATCTTCCTTGCATTTGAAACTAACTTATATATAACACTTACACAACCACATCTTCCCAGCATATATCAATTACATTAATTTATTTTCCTTACTTTCTTCATTTTAATTAATTTGAAACCATTTTAAAAAATCTTCAATACCATGTCATATTAATTTCTTTCAAATACTAGTATTATCCACATACATGTAAATTTCATTTGTTTTTCCTGTTGTTTGAGATACAAACAGTAAATATGTTCCAGTAAAGGAGATGGGTGAAGACGGCTTGCAGATAGCTTCAGATATGTAAAAATCTTATTCAATTCGTGAATTTAGTATTTAGAGTAAAGTTCTCATTATTAAAATTTATGAATTATGATAAACAAAACTTTTTTGAGGAAATTTTTTTTGGCAAAAATTCCTCGGTTGTTAAAAAAGTATGTGGAATTCGTGGGGTTCGAACTCTAGCAATAAAAATCCTCAATATCATTTTCCTTTGAGACTAACGCGCTAACCACTACGCTACACATCTCCTGATGAAAAGTGGCATTTAAATCATGTTTGTGATATGACCCTTGACTAAATGGACTTAAAGTGACACTTTGACGGTAAAAGGAGAAAACTTACAAAAGTTGAATTTTTGGATGACACATGCAAATTTTATTCAATTCTAGAAGATATTAGGTTTCAGAAAATTACAGGTTTCAGAACCTAAAAAATCTATTTTTTTTTTGGAGAAAAATAAAAGTAAAAAAAATTTTTGTTTGCCCCAACACAAAGATATTGCTTCACTTCTTCCTCTTTATTGTACGCATGCGCAGAATGGTTGAAGAATTTACCATGGTGTCAATTCCATAGATACAATCTTCAGTAATGATTATCAGAACTTATTTCTCACTTCTGTTTGCTCCAATTCAATGTTGTTTACAAGTTTCACGCTAAAAATAAAAGTCGCTCGACCTTGACATTGTTGACATTGACGATAACAACAAAGCGGTAGATACAACCTTTGTTTTTCCGGCACTTATATTTTGCAGTTCTTTTCTTGCTTTACAGTGCAGTTGAGTTGTAAAAACTTCGCTTTAGCCATATTTCACATAAATCTTTTTTTATGATACAATTATCTTAAAAGAAACACATGATTTTGACTCATTATGTAACTTTAAGTATTTCTCTGAAATATGCGAATGTTGTGTCATAAAAGTATATTTTTAACGTATAGTGGGTTTTTGCTTTATGATTTTCTTAACCAATAAATTTATATTTTTACGTAAACTTTGATGATAAACTTTCAAAAAAATGGAGCAAAGACCCATTCATATCGAAAAATTGTGTTATATTATGAGAAAATGATCCTTTTTGCCCTCTTTAGTGTGTGTATGCTATTTCATAGGCAAATAATTTCTATCTTTGTGAGATTTTCACAAATTGTGGAGATTTTACATAAAGTATTAGATTTTAATGTTAGATGAAATATCAAAGTAAATTTAGTTATAATTGAGATTAATTTTTTATCATCATGTTTGTCGCACTATAGGCACTTCGCTCGCCTTGTTCGCCCTTCTTCGTTGTTGATAAGTCGCAAAGATTGATTGATTGATTGATTGTTGTTTAACGTCCCTCTCGAGAATTTTTCACTCATATGGAGACGCCACCACTTGCCGGTGGAGGGCTACAAATTCTGACCTATGCTCGGCACTTACGGCCATTGAACAGTGAGGGATCTTTTTCGTGCCAACACCTACTGCGACACGGGACCTCGGTTTATACGGTCTCATCCGAAGGACCGGTCTCCACGTCCTGCAGTGGGATTCGAACCCGCGACGTAAGGATCAACTCCTTACTTCGCGACTCTAGAGCAGACGCTCTAACCACTGCGCCACGCGGGCGACAAGTCGCAAAGAAGATAAACTTTAAAAAAAAAAAATCAAAATTTTTTGTACAAATTTTTTCAGAGTGTATGGTATAGAAATACCCCCTCCCCCACCCCACCCTCGCAAAAAAGACGTAAACTTATTCACTTTTTATCCAGATTAGAGAATTAAAATAGAAATGGTTGAATAGCGATTGAAAAGTTTTAACCGAATTTAAATTGATATGTTTTAAAAAGAGTTTAGACAACACAAAACTGAAAATATTTTAATCTTATTTGATAAGTGTAATTTTATTTTGCAATAAGAATCCTTAAATTTTGATCAATCATTTACCATATCTTCGTTTGAAAAATTAATTCAATAATCATATAATTAACACACGAGGCCTTTCAAAACTGAATGGAAGAATAAACAACGACATCTAGAATGTGATTTTTATAACTTATTTATAAACCATTACTTACTTAAGAAAGACGTTCAATGCTAAATAAGCTCAAGAAACTGAATGTGGAAGCGCCTTTATACCTAATGCACTGTGTTCATTCTTACCATTTCATTTAATGTCGATGATAAGACGAATGGCTATATAAAATAATGAAAGAAAAAGAAAATGCACAGTTTTAATCTTGATTTCTCCATATCCAGTCAGAAGTAAGCATCTTTAGTTACCTCTAAAAACATGGAATTAAAATGTTCCGTAACGAACAAATGAATTAGAGTTGTCGTAGCTTGACAATCATGGCCGTAGGAACCGGGGGGGGGGGGGGCACGGGGGGCCGTGCCTCCCCAATAATTTTTCCGATGTATAAGTTACTATAGAAAACATAGAGCTAGGGGCCGTGCCTCCCCAATAATTTTTCAGATGTATAAATTACTATAGAAAACATAGAGCTATGTGCTTGTGCCCCCTCAATAATAACGTCTGATGACCTTTTTTTCTTTTTTTTTATTTGCTTGTCAAGGAATTTTGGAAGTTGATAGTGCCCCCCCCCCCCAACTAGAAAATGTATGGTTGTGCCCCCTCAATGTGAATTGCTTCCTACGGGCCTGAGAATATTCAAATAGCTACGACATCACAGAGGTTAAATTTATCATATTTATTCGATAATATCACGTATGAATGTTGAGCTAAACATGAATGGAACTTCTATCTACATGTATGTACATTTCAAAATATGAAATTCTTAGCTAGTTTGCAGTCAACTTTCAATTGATTCTCATTCTTCAAATAAAATTGCTGGAAAGATACAGGTACATAGTTCATATTAGTAATAGGAAAGAAGATCATCATTTTTTAAGTCCGATGATCATAACTTCGCAAACAGAAAGATATCGTGACCGGATACCGTCCCAAGCTGACACAGCGACAACCTTTCCAGTAAGACACTTATCGCAAACAATTGTGGCATTAGTTCCTGGTTCAGCTGGACCTTCATAATACCCACAGTAAGAACTGTCTACCCAAATATTTATCTTCGATAAGGCAAAATCTGAAAAAAAAAACGTGATTATTCAATCTTATTATGAAGATGATAACAAATTTGAATCCAAACCTTAAAAAATCAAAACTTTTAAGTTCTTTATTCAGTGTTTTTAAATCTATTTAGGAATTTTCGGACAAAGAGGTAAATTGAGCCACCAATATTTAAAATAAATATGAATTTTAAATTTAAACAAGAGGCCCAAGGGCCTTAACGGTCACCTGAGTATAATACAACAAGTTAGAGGATCCATAGAGTATAAAATGAACTGAAAGGTGAAGCTTTGTTGCCCAAAAGCAAGAAAAATAGGGTGATCAGGATCAACAAAATAATTAGTCTACTGTTCATTAACAGTTCATAAATTAGGTTCTAATCTGTTCCCCATTTATCACTATCACCATACAGTATATGAACAAATTATCAGTGATTCTGTACTATTTCAATTCCTTGATGAAATCTCTTACATTGGACTCTCTTGGTCTTTGATGAACATTGAATAAGACAAGTTATTTTTGTCTCATTTTTATTTATCTATTACTTACAAGTTTACCTGATCATTTAAACTATAAAAATACTTTTTGTATTATACAATAAAAAATCTTGCATAATTAACCTTTCAAGTACATTATTTACAGTGATTAATTATCAAAAGTAAATGGCAAAGGGGAATAACTACTCTCAGTTGAATACAAATTAATAGAGCTCTGGCCAGGACCAGAACACTTCACCAAATTGTCCAGATGTTCAAAAATCTTTATTAAAACTTTTACTCTTTTTGCCCCTGATATGTCCAGGTGCAGAAAAGATTTTCAAAGAAATAATGCATTTTTACTACAGATTCTCTATATTATCAAAAGAGCCCCCCCCCCCAGCGCCAGAACCCCTGACCTTGGGGCAATGAATTTCACAATTTTGGTAGAGTTACCCTTGCTTATCATAACTATGCATTCAATTTGTAAAAATAATACCCAGGAGTAGAGGAGAAGATTTTCAAATAAATAATGCACTTTCACTATATGATCTATATAGCCCCACCCTAACACCAGAACCCCTGACCCTGGGGCCATGAACTTCACAATTTTGCTAGAGTCACCCTTGCTTATTATAGCTATGTATTTAATTTGTTTCAATAATACCCAGGGGTAGAGAAGAAGATTTATAAAGAAATAATGCACTTTCACTATATGATCTATATAGCCCCGTCCCAGCACCAGAACCCCTGACCCTGGGGCCATGAATTTCAAAATTTTGGAAAAAGCATCCTTGTGCACCATTACTATGCACTTAGTTTGTTTAAATAATATCCAGGAGCAGAGAAGAAGATTTTCAAAGAATTAATGCATTTCCACTATATAATTAATAGAGCCCCGCCCTACCCCCAGAACCCCTGAACCAGGGGCCATGAAATTCACAATTTTTGAAAAGGCATCATTGCTTGTCATAACCATGCACTTAGTTTGTTTAAATAATACCAGGAGAAGAGAAGAAGATTTTCAAAGAATTAATGCATTTTCACTATATAATCAATAGAGTCCCACTCTAACACCTGACCCTGGGGCCATGAATTTCACAATTTTGGAAAAATCATCCTTGTGCATCATTATCATACACTTTGTTTGTTTAAATAATACCCAGGAGCAGAGAAGAAGATTTTCAAAGATTAATGCATTTTCACGATATAATCAATAGAGCCCCGCCTTAACACCAGAACACCTGACCCAGGGGCATTTCACAATTTTGGAAAAGGCATCATTGCTTGTCATAACCATGCACTTAGTTTGTTTAAATAATACCCAGGAGAAGAGAAGAAGATTTTCAAAGAAATAATGCACTTTCACTATATAATCAATAGAGCCCTGTCTACCACCAGAACCCCTGACCCAGGAGCCATGAAATTCACAATTTTTGAAAAGGCATCAATGCTTATCATAGCCATGCACTTAGTTTGTTTATATAACATCCAGGAGCAGAGAAGAAGATTTTCAAAGAATTAATGCATTTTCACTATATAATCGATACAGCCCCACCCTAACACCAGAACCCCTGACCCTGGGGCCATGAATTTCACAATTTTGGAAAAATCATCCTTGTGCATCATTATCATGCACTTAGTTTGTTTAAATAATACCCAGGAGTAGAGAAGAAGATTTTCAAAGATTTAATGCACTTTCACTATATAATCAATAGAGCCCCGCCCTAACACCAGAACCCCTTACCCAGGGGCCATGAAATTCACAATTTTTGTACCCCTTCACCCATTGATGCTATATGCCAAAATTAATTGAAATTGGTTCAGTGGTTCAAGAGAAGAAGCTAAAAATGTTCAAAAGTTTTACGACAGACGCACGACGACGGACGAAAACAGATAGCAATAGGTCACCTGAGTGACTCAGGTGACCTAAAAATGTATCTTTACTTGAAGAATTATTATAATTGTAGAAATACTGTAATTTAAAATTCAATATATACAAAACATGTAGAACAACTGCTATAGGCTATACATGTACCATGACTTGCTTCAACATCTCCGCGGCTTAGTAAAACGATATGGTCGACATAATGTTCCTGTTTTAAATCAATGAATAACTGTGGAGCCCAGTCGAGTGAAGTTTGAGCACAGCGATGGTTAATATCTGCCTCAGGCCAGACACCATCAACAGCTTGATTCGCTTTAGAATATTCATCAAATGTACTTGTTAGGGTGGCCTCTTTTCCTAGAGCAATATTGCCAAAGTTGGCTGTTTTAAAAAAAGTATTAGTAGAGTTAGTAGAGGTTCATTCATTATGAAAAAAATCTCAAATTGAATGACCCATGAAACTTTTAAGTATTTTCTGCGTGAATTTAATTTGTAACTCTAGGCAAAAAATGATAATAAATATATAAATAAAAACCAAAAAGGAAATTGAATTGTTTACGGTAACGATATGCACCTACCCTCATTGCACATATTGTCATTTATTGGCACATAGTATCGTCGGCTGTAAAGTGTTACATGTGTATATTGTGGCAGGTGACAATATGTGGCTACCATCCTTGCACATATTGTCACCCCATCAGCTTCCAGTAATGAAGATAATAATGACTTTGATATCAAAAACATGTACTTGTATATAGTTTTCATGAGATGGCATGTTCACCAAGACACAAATGCTTTTCAGTATGCACAATTGTTATTTTGTAAACTCCAATAAAACGGCTGCAATGAAATTCTGTAGTTAATATACAATTGACATTGTGTTGGGTGAATGGTGCATAAAGCAATGAAAAAATAAATTCTTATTTAGGAAGACCAAACTCTCTCTCTCTCTCCCCATAACCACAATAAATTATTCTTCAAGACAATATCAATGACGATGAAATGTGCAAATGTTCGGAATACAAGTGCGTGTGACGGTACATATTGTCGTTTTGTACATATTGTCGTCGGCGACAATATGTACATATCATCACGGCACATATTGTCGTCCATCGGTACATATTGTCGCCGGCTGAAAAATAACACATGTACATATTGTCGCTGGGGACATTATGTGCCTCACCCTCACGGTACTTATTGTCGCCCCACAGATATTGTTGCTTAAAGATTTTTTTTGTTGTGTTTTGGTAGTTTTGTGAATGTAATTAGCGTGTGAATCACACTGACGCATATGCTATTTCATGCAGACTGACGCGTATGCTATTTCATGCAGAGTGATGTGAGGGTACATTTTGTCGTCCTGTTCATTTTGTCGTCGGCGACAATGTGTACCTACCCTCACATCGCATATTGTCGTCCATCAGAACATGTCGCATGACAATGCACGGCAATGCTCCATATAAATATGGCCAGAGAAACCAAAAACTTCAGCAATGGTCATATACAGTTAATTTGTTCGTCGAAATATAGCTGAAATATTACCGACTCGGCGTTAATATTGTTTATTATACCTCTACTGATTTTTTCCTATATAACATTAGATCGTTAGATGTGACTAATTCCATAGAAATTGTTAAGAATGGACTAATCCCCGTGCGTTAGTCAAGTGAGCTTATCCCTGCTTCGAAAGCTAATTCCCGGTTATGCGTAATCCTCTAAATTTTACTTATACTTTGGTATGATATGTGAATGGACTAATCCCCGTGTGTTAGTTCAGTTAGCTAATTCCTGCTTTGAAATCACGCTATGTGAATCCTCTAAATTTTACGTTTGTATCGGTGTAATAAAACAGTTAAAAGTATATCATTGCGGGAGTTAGCAAGATTCAAATTCCACTCGACCAGTACTTATTTCCTCGGCTTTGCCTCAGGATTAGTCCTGGCCTTGAGGAACTGGAATCTTGCTAACTCCCTCAATGATATACTTTAACTGTATAATAATCAATCAATCCATATAATTATGACTAACCGTTGCTTTGCTGTTTTTGAGAAGGTAATTTTTAAAGAATTTTCCTATATATTCTTTTGTAAAACTTTGATCGCCCATTGTTGACCCACCCTAGACCCGGTTTGATTTGAAGATACTTAAATCTGCGCTACCTGAGGATGCTTCCATATAAACATCACTAATCACTGGCCTACTGCTGTTCTCATTGGTGGATCCAGAATTTTCAGAACGAAAAAGAGGGATGCGGGCGGCTCAGAATTTTTTTTGACAAAAAAAATTTAAAAAGTTATTTGTATGTAAAGTTGTTTTTCTGTATATGTTAAGTAAATTATTTAATTATAAAATTTTACCTGTGTACTAGATTGAGAGTATATACAAGTTAAACAAAGAGAATTTACCAATTTGAAAGCAGAAAAAATCAAACCACCGGGCGGTGCATGGAGGGGGTGCGCCAGTGCTTCATCTGTTTGGTTTTGCGAAGATTATTAAAGATTTTCTGTATATATTTCTATGTAAACCCTTGACCATTGTGGCCCAACCTACCCCTTGAGTCATGATTTGGAAAAAAAAAAATTTGTTTTATTTGTCGTTACAATGTCCATTTCGAGAATTTTTCATTCGTATCTAGACGTCACTACTTGCCGGTTGCAAATTTAGACCTATACTTGGCTCTCAGGGTCATTGAGTAGTGAGGGCTCTCTTTCGTGCCAGCACCTCAAAATTGAACGTACGCTATGTAACGAAGCTTTCACATAAGTACCATCTCTTCTGACCCGGTACTTGAAAAAAAAAATTGAAAGACTATTTTATAAATATTCTATGAAAAATTTTGATCACCTATTGTAGCCACACCCTTCCCCCGAGGGACGTGATCTGAATGAAACTGAATCTTCACTTCATGATGAAGCTTTCATGTAAGTTTAAACTTTTCTGACACAGTGGTTCTTGAGAAGATTTTTAAAAGATGTCAATAAATTTTCACTCATTCTTAGCTACTTCCCTTGAAAGAGGGCATGGTCCAAACATGAATCCCCTTTATCCGAGAATGCTTTGTGGCAAGTTTGCTAGAAATTGACTCAGTAGTTCTTGAGAAGAAGCGGAAATTGTGAAAAGTTTACAGACAGAGGGAAGGTCTGACAAAACTATGATCAGAAAAGCTCACTTGAACTTCCAGTTTAGGTGATCTAAGAATGTCAACTCCAATACCAATTATATCGGCACATGATTGTATATAAGAATAACGCAAAAAAAATAATTTCCAAATAATCATTACTACTGAACAAAAAAAAAAATATATATGTATTCAATCTCAAGTACGAGGGTTGTCCAGAAAAATCGTGGACAAAGCTTTTTTCTCGAAAAATAATGGGCGCACTAAGCTGAAATTTTCAGCAAATGTTTATTCATCAATTTTAAGTGCAACTTAATTTTTTTTTTATAAAATATAGACAGAAATATAAAGATTCAATTATGCTTGAATGTACACAGGGTACGGTCCTACGGCGCACGATCAGAAAACCAGGGTTTCATTAGCGAATACACGAGTATTATTTCAAAATAAAAGTGTTAAATAGATAAGGTTGGGGTAAAAATTATCCCATTTTTAATCCACTATCTATTATTTCGTCTTTTATAAATTGTCAAGGCATTTGCTTAATTTTTGGCAGTTTCCCGAGCATTTGAAATGGGAAAGTGGTAAACGCAACACACGAAAAATGGCGACGTTTGGTGACGTTACGGCGCACCGGAGAGCAGTTCAGTTTGATTTAGATGTATTAATGACACCTTAAAAAACTTTAAATGACTACAGAAGGAAAAAAATATATATATCACTAGATCTTTAGTATGCAAGTGAAATGGGAGTTTTCTAAACGGAAGTTTTTTGATCGGGTAGAACAAAACATACGGACAGAAAGCTACTGGCAATAGTAAAAGGCGCCGTCACTGTAGACCGTCGATATAAGATGGCCTATTTAGTTGAATGATAGTGAGAGTATTGTCCATAACTGACTAATAAATCTTCAGAAGGTCCTATGCGTGTGTGTGAGAGATAGGTTCATCGGCTGTTTATGGAGGAGTAAAGGGAAAATCAAGTACGCGCATCAATGAAATCCCCGGATTTAAGTGAGGCTTATCCAACTTTTATTTAGCAAAGAAGAAACGTGACGCTCCTTTAGATACTTTGACGTTATCATCCGTGCGCCGTAAGGCGATACCACACTTAACATTAAGTCTCATATCTTGTTTAGTTGAGCAGATATCTATTTGACATTTGCTATGTATATTGATGAAAAATGTACTAAAAAGTAGTGAAAGATTTAGAACGCAGTGATGAATATTTTTCAATCTAGACAACTTGTCTACGATTTTACCGGACAACCCTTGTATATATTACTAAGGCTTGTCTTGGTACATATTGTCGCCGGCGACAATATGTACCGATGGACGACAATATGTGCAGTGAGGGTATGTACATATTGTCGCCGACGACAATATGTACAAACGACAATATGTACCGTCACAAATGCGCAATACAAAACGTCTCCGTCGATATGTGCCGACTTGAAAGGTACATTTAAAAAGGCTTGTTTCGGCACATATTGTCGCCGTTGTCACTTATGTACCGATAGACGACAATATTTGCAGTGAGGGTCGGTTCATATTATTTCCTGCGACAATACGCACATTGCGACAAATGTACCGTAACATGCGGTTTATGAAAAATCGTGCACTACCTTTAACCCGCGATTGAAATGATTCAATTTCACAAAAGTAAAATACCTATCTACATTCAAAGAACATGGACCGATTTTTTTGTACTAAGAAAGTATACCATTATGTTCTGAATCTCACAACTTTATTTCAAAATAAGTAATACATACATATAATATTATTGCTCATATTGCATATTTTTATTATAAAAAGATAAATTATGCTTCAAATTGTAAATCTGAAATTAGTTCACTTTAAAATTATTTTGACAATTTCTTTCGAGCCTCTTTACTGTTGTCTCTGTATTTATTATTAAGAGGTTTTCATACTTTAGATTCATCGTGTAAGCACACAAAAGAAGAGACAAAACATATGAGCAGAGAGAAATGAAACAATTCGTTGGCAAATGTAATTATAACCTACCTGTTGTTGACATGCATGTCATCTTTCCTGAGGAGAGTTGAATCCGCTGAATAACCTCTAGACATTTTCCCTTGATCTGAGAATGCTATAATTTGACAAGATTTTAATTATCAATATGGTTATCAAGATTGTTGCTTTATGATATAATGTAAACAGAATCTTAATAGATCTATTTTAATTATTAATTTGTCCAGATTCTCAGTTTTGCTTAAAATTTCTGATTTGTTTATTTATAGGGATATTGATGTAATCATCTACTAGTATATCGATGAAGAAACATTATTTTTCTTCAGTAAAAAAAAATAATTATCCTAGATAGCTTTCTGAAATATTACAGTTTTGGAAAGCTACCTATAATTTCTCAGTATCGTTAAATATTTTTAGGTTACAAAATTCTACATGAATGACCTTATCTTGTGGACACACTTTATCCATGTCCCTTAATTCGATGGGTGTGGCCTGTAACGAGGGGTAGGGTGCCGCTTTTAACTCACACTTTAATTCCTCTTTATTGTAAACCACTGGTAGACACA